TCTCTGTACCTGGTCCCAGGGCCACGCCGTGGGGCAGTGCCCACGCCCGGCAGGCCTGTGCGTTGCACCCACATGGCTCCAGGGGGCACCGGGCTGGTCCTGCTCGTCCCCGACGGGCTCTGGCCTATTGCTCAATGCTGGCAGGGGGAAGAGCCTTTGGTCCCCCTGGCAATGCTGTAATTTTCTGGGGAGTTGCTGTGGGGAGAGGGGCTGCCCTGGGGGTGATCTGGGGGGAGGGTCTCCTCCAGGGCTCCCCAAGCTGCAGAGGTGAAACGAAATGCTCCTTTCCAGGCACCAGAGACAAGAGTGGGCGTGCGGTGGCCATAATCACCACGAGGAACACCGTCTGGCTGAACCCCCACTGCAACACCGCCGAGCTGGTGCGCCTCCTCCTCTACTTACACAGCATCCCCAGGTGGGTGAATCGTCCCGCCCGGGCGGGCCAGCTCGGGGGGCGAGATCGAGGGCACTGGCCCCAGGCAGCTTTGGAAGTGCAGGTTGAACCTCTCTAGTCCGGCACCCTTGGACCCTGGCCGCTGGCGAACCAGAGCACGTGCCCCACCACGGCAGGTCCATGTTGTCACCAGCGTGACCAACGATTCCACGGCTTGCTGGGCTCTTAGCAGACATTAGGGGTAAGTTAGAGCCAAACCCTGCGAGCCAGGGTGGCTGGAAACAGAGTTTACGGGACTGCGGGAAACTTGGCCACCCCCATGCTAAGTGGACACCCGGCTAACGGAGATCATGGAGGTTGCTGAACTAGAGAGGTTCAGCCTGCGGCCTCGGTGCTTTGGCCATGCCATGTACTAAGGCTTTGTGTGCGTTCCCAGGCATTGCTATAAATCCGCACCATTCCTCACTGATCTGCATTGACTCAGGACACAGGGCTTGGCAAACATGACACTGCCAATCCCGGCGTAGCCCAGCAGTCCCAGGACACCTTTCCAAGAGCGTTGGATGAGTGACGGATAGGCCCCTGGAACAGAGCCGGGTCAGGCACTTTGCCAGGCAGGGCTAAACGCTTTCAGAATGCGCCGGTTTGTGCGTTGCCAGTCCCCCTGCGCTCCCTGGCTGACGGGGCTCCCTCCCGACTCCTCCCAGACTCCCCTGGGGTCTGTGTTTTGCAATGCTTTTAAGGACACAGTTTGTTCCCAGTGTGAGCATCGGCGCCGGAGCATCCGAAGGATGCAGGGTTGCTGGGTGCCCATCCTCGGGCACGGGCAGCAAGGGCTGGCTCTCCCTCCACGCGGCCTGCCTCCCCAGAGGTGCGATGGACCGTGCGGGTTTGCTGCTGGCGTCTGGGCAGGGGCGCCGCATGGCTGGAGTTGCA